ATTGGTACCTCTAGTGGCTTGTTATGGCTAATCACTAATGAACCCCCGATTTTCTACTCAAACTTGTCATCCCGGGCTTGCCTAGGGTGGTTTACCTCCTACTATAGTTTGCAGGCTATTGTAGTGGGCGTGAGTTTACCCATCTCTGATGGGATTCCCGGCGTTACCAAAAAAAAAAAAAAAAAACTCCACGGAAACAAACTCTAATTGAGACAGAAAAAGTATAAATCAACAGAGTTATCAAGTTTAATTAGTTCGGATCCTTAGTCTGAATCACGCATTATTTTACAAAAATCTTGGGAAGGTCCGGGGAAAACTCAAAATCACAAAGTTGGCAAAAAAAAAAAAAAGGATCAAACTAAAGATATGCCAGAGAGGTAAATTAGGCTGTAAAATGATCTTAATTAAAGCACTTAATTATAATGCTCACACACACACGCGCACAAAATGAAAGAGATGGATAAAGTATGGGGCGCCCAAAACACGAAGAATACAACTGGAGCTTTTATGACTTGAGTAGTAGCATTGGATTAATGTAGTAATTAATAATATTAATTATATCGTTGGAGCTTTGATTTTCGCGGGGGGGGGGGTGTAACCTGGTGGAATGTTATAGAGTGTGGCTATTAATTTAATCGGGTAGTAGTACAGTTTCTCTGTTTAGTTAAGTCTGATAGGAAGATTTGCTGAGCTAATCTCTGCCACCGCCCAAATAAACTTTGTCCGTTGACCTCATTAACTCGAAAAAAACTGGGGTTTAGTTTAGGACATTTAGGTCGGTTTCAACTTGGATGGTTTTTTGCCTTTGTTTTCTGAGGTAACAGGGTGTGTTGTTTTTGTGCTTCTTGGACCATGATGGCCTCGTCATTCAAATTCCCATGCACGAGGCAATTTGTTCTTCATACTTTGAATTACGTCGGTTTTGGATTTAAGTTTGGGGACTTTTAGAGTATAGTATTTAATAAAAAGTTTATTTATTATTTAATTTGAAATTTCAAACTCAGCTTATGGCGTGGCATGCCTGAGTTCACTTAATTTGTTGTACAGGGAGTAATTAATCTGTAATTAGTAGTCACAGTGGTATTAAAAATAACACCACCAAAAGGTTTGTTTTTTGTTATTAGGCTAGTTTATAAGTTATGATCTGGTTTCAAGTCTGAATATATATGAACATACAACAATGATTTAAACTAACACACGTAAGAGGGTTTTGTTTCTACAAAAAAAAAAAATATATATATATATATATAATTGAATCAAAATTAGTTAGAATAATAATTTCAAACACTCGATAAATACGTCATATAAAACTAACTAGTGTGTAATTTGATGCATGAAATATTTCTTTAACCCCTCTCAGTGTCTACCGTGATAACTAACTATTGGTATACATCGAGTTTGAGGGATGATATACCTAGCTAGCTTATATGTAGAAAATCCTACATACAATTATTGTATCACGTAGGATTGTATAGCCGGACACATAAAGAGGATAACATTATAATTTTATTGGCAAAATTATCACAAAATTAGGGGAGGTGTCGATGCACAAAATTAAAAAAAGGATACGCTTGTTGTACGGAATATTTTTTCAGCTTATACGAGAGTTGAGGAATCTACTTAATTACTACTTTTTATAAGTATATTATTAATAAGAGGATGCAAAACCTATAACTTCCATAAGCATTTTACTGTGCTTCAACAAATAAATGTATTTTGTGTACATACAACTCATGAAAGAGTTGCATGGGCATTCTCTACAATTTAAGGATTTGACCCGCTCCAATGCATGCACACAACACGAGTGTGATAGGGAAAAAAAAAAACTAAATAAGAAAAAATAAACATACATCAACATTGGTCGACAACATAACTAATTTTCCGAAACAAAATTACGTTCTATAGGAATCAGTAGTTTGAGATGGGATTTCATTGTAAACTTCTCAACCAAAACCAATTGTGGTTTTGCTTAACATCCATGAACCCTGGCTAATTCCATCTCAGAAGGTTTTCTCAAGTTTTAATAGCGAGTACTCCTTTTATCTTATTGTTGTTTAATTTGAATTTTCAGTTTTAGTTCTATTTTTAATTTAAAAAAAAAAGAAAAATCTAAAGTAGACAATAATTTCAGAATTGAGTGAATAATAAAAAACAAGATTGGATCAATTAGAAAATGTATTCATCGAAAATTTACCAGAGATGGATAAATTCACGCTCTCTTTCTATAATACACACAATAAAGTTGAAATAGACATTTTAGGCTCCATTTAAGAGCGACCGATCAAACACAACTACACAAAGAGCTCTCCAACTGCTTAAAATGGCAAGAATTTAGTAGGATGTCCTTTGTGATATTGATCTCCCTGACGCATTCTGAAGATTGTTGACCCTTTATTTTCATGGTGTAGCGCTGGTGCTGATCTCCAACTCCCGTATTCAAAAATCCCATCCCCCAAATCAAAAAATCATGTACCTGATATGAGACATCATCAATGTAATGTTTGTTTTGCTGTACCAAAAAAAAATTGAGCCCATATGATATGAACCCAACTGGACCTCTGCTATCCTTTCTTTAATGTACAGCTCACTTCCATTCGCAATTCTGGTCAATCCCTCCCTCTCCATTTACTGCTCCTGCCATACTACTACACTATTTGTGCATTATCTTTCTTTCTATCTATCTTTTTTTTTTCATAAAATATGATGATATTTTCTTTATCGATCTCCCATTAGTCACACCGTTAGAGAAAACAATTCGATCATTTCATTTTTAAAAGGCGGTTTAATTTTAGCGTGTTTAATTATTATTATTATTATTATTATTATTTGCTCGACTAGGAATGTTTTAATAGGTAAACTCCATAAAATAGTCTGCAAAATATATGTGAGAAGGTTAACACTTTCTTTCTACTACGTCTATCCCAAAAATAATTCAAAATTGAATTTAAGATTTACATTTAGTAAACTATATGTGAGTGAAAGGTAACTCATTTTTTCTATTACCTCTGTCCCAAAAAGATTATGTAGATTATTTTTTGGGGGAACAGATAGAGTATTGACTAATTAAGCAATATGAAGTATATTCTAATTGCCAAGAAAAATAATCTTAGGGCCAACTGTCAAGTAAACTAACCATGCTTCCCATGCGGTTTTATATTTACACTGTAGACATTTGTTTGAATAACTTTACTTTCACCAATATAATAAAACTAAATTCCGGGAATATCTTGTAAACGTATGAATTGATAAAATGTATTGTACTAAATAGCTTCATTTACATATGTTAAAATCCGTTGCATCTTATCAATAAATAAATCAACTCTGCCGTGGATTCAAATATGTGTCGTTTTGAAGATCAACCAGAAAATTTCCCTTAGGAACGGCTAACTAAAAATTATTTCTTCATCAAAACTCCATTGATGATCTTAGAATAAAAAGTCTATAGAAAAACATGAACTTCGCCGCGTATTAATTTAGGATGCTGTTTATGTGAAAACTCTAAAGAGACGAATTACGAATTTCTTTTTTATCAAAAAAAAAAAATTCAGACAAGAACGAACACAAAAGCAAAATCAAGCGAAGATAATATCCGATAAAAAGGAAAACAACAAGAAAGGGTTTTTGGACAGAGATGAATAGTGATGAGCCCAAATTCCCAAGAAATTTAAAAGAAATGGCAAGAGAATTGACTATTGTCTATTGGCATTTACTGCAAAAGTTGGGTTAATCAATGTGACCCTCTGTTGCTTTTGAGTTCTACCAACTACTTCTCTGCCATTGCAATTATGTGAGATCGACACACAATGTGCCCTGTTTCTATGCATTTTTTTTTCTTTCAAATTAATTCATGTCACAATTACCTTCTTCTTCTTCTTTTTCTTTTTTTTTTTTTGGGTAGTAAATCTTCTTACTCCTATCTTATTTTTAGTTGTCCACATCAATTTCGATATTCATTGGCGCCCGTTTTAATTAGTGTGTTCCTAATCCTACATTCAAATTATAGCACCTTCTATCAGAATTTAGACTACAAAAATTTGGTTCAAATGGTAAAGACATCAGGGAAGTCTACTTTTAGTCAGGTTCAAAACATAACATGCATCTTATAGAAATTTATGTGAAAGGCATTTACCTTCCAAATGAAATCCATCCGACTCGAATAAAAATTAGTTCATCGATAAGATTATTTTAGGGTTCTCGGATGGATCCATGCATTTTGCTTTTGGTTTGTTCTTGTTTTGGAAAAAGGTGTACGCGTAGTTAACTCTTTGGAGTGAAAATGGACGACACTGCCAAAGTGTAGAAAAAACTGAAAATGGAATGTTTTGGTTAGACTGCTCGAGTTCCAGACTCTCCAGATTACTCTCCAGAGTTCCAGAGACTCTCAACTGATCTCAAGGAAAGGCAAGGTTACTTTCATTCGAATTTCGATGATATATATAGTGAAATAAAATGACAAATGACATGTCATTTTGCTTGATCTTGATGTTTCTATTTTTTTTTTCTAAAATAATTATTTAATTTAGATTTTCGTTTTTAATATTATGAATTTAAAGAAATTAAAAAATCCAAACTGAATAATCTTGAAAATATGGAGAGAACATGCTAGAGTTACCGGATACAGCAGCAGGATGGGATAATTATGAATGTGACCCAAAGCTGAGAGATAATGAATCCGAACAAATCTTTGATCACTATCAAATCGGGTTACAAATTAAAGCAACAATTTTCATGTCACCATCGAGTATGGTCAAAAACCTTGCATCCCAAAAACATGAAAATGTAATTAAGTAGAAGATACCATTCATCATTAATTCCACCTACATCTTTCACAATCCCAGTAACTTCAACATTTCTTTAGTCTATCTAATTAAAACAGAAAGTGACATCTGTAAAGGCCTAACCATCAAGAAACTAACTAGGTTCTCTCTCTCTCTCTCTCTATATGCATGAAAGCCAGCAAAACAGTAGTATTAAAGAAGCTTGTGTGTTTTATGAGGCCAAATTAAACTGCTACTACCATTTTGGTCTTCTACTCAATTTCTTAAACTTCATTACAGTATTTCCCACCACCTCTTTCACAGTCCATACTATACAACCCAATATGGTGGATTTAAATGGCAAACTTAAATGCTTCTGCAACTCACACAACCAACCACACACTGCAACCACCTGCTTATATTTACTACACACTCTTTGATTCTTCTTACTCTCTTTATAAACAACACCACCCCCATTCCCTCCTTCCCCACACACTCACTCACTCACTCACTCACTACTGTGCTTTATCCTTTCTTCCTTCTTCTCATTTCAAAGAACTAATAACTTAACAGAAAGAAGAAGAAAAAAAAAATGAAGAGCAGGAATCAGTCTTCTTCTCTTCTCCTGTGGGCTGCACTAACTGCCTTGATTTCTCAAAACCTGCTCGTTCCAGTCTTCTCAGCTCAAGCCACTTTTGAAGACCAGAAGAACTACTACCCTCGTGATCCCGGTGCTGGAACTCCCCCAACTCCTTCAGGTTAACAAAACATCAAACACTTGCACAACTCATTACTGTTTTGTTTTTTTTGTCCAAAATTAACCTTAGTATATAAAGTTTCTTATGTTTTTGTTTTTTCTAACGTGTGTAGGTTCAACAGGCGGGAGTCCACCAAGAAGCTCAGGTGGTGGCGGTCACGGACACGGAGGAACACCGCCAGCAAACTGCGGCAACCCACCATCTGGAGGCCATTCTACTCCCACCCCATCAACTCCCTCCGGCGGCGGCGGTTACCACCACTACTCACCGCCGTCCACCACCCCTACAACTCCCACTACTCCCACTCCCACCACCCCAATTGTGCCATCCCCATTTTTCACCCCGCCAACACCATCTACTCCCATTGATCCAGGCACCGGCACCCCTTCTTCTCCTGGCATCACTATTCCCTCCCCTCCTTTCCCCTTTGATCCCAACTCCCCACCTTTCACCTGCGAGTAAGTCCATATTTTATCTGTTACTCATTCCGTCCCAGAAAAAACAGTGAGACGTTAATATCTTATATCTGTACAGTTTTAAATACAAATCACAAATTACAATATGCTGGTTTACTTTATATTATTTTTTTCGACACAAAGGGAATACTATATATATATATATATATATATATATATTTACTAATGCATGCCTCTGTGTTTTTTAATAATTATGCAGCTTCTGGAGAAACCATCCTACATTGATATGGGGAGTTCTTGGATGGTTTGGAACTGTGGGAGGAACCTTGGGAGGAACAAGCAGTGGCATTCCCGGGTTCGGGTCGAACATGAGCTTGTTGCAGGCATTGGGAAATACCCGGAGTGACGGATATGGAGCATTATACAGGGAAGGCACAGCAGCGTATCTGAATGCAATGGTGAACAGAGGACGTGGATTCCCTTACACGACCAACCAGGTTCGGGATCGGTTTGCTTCTTCCCTCAGGTCTAACAAAGCTGCCGCTAATCAAGCTCGTCTCTTCAAGCTTGCTAACGAGGGCCGTGTCAAGATTTAGAGCGAGCTTCTTTGGGTGTTGGAAGAAAGAAACAAAAGAGTACTGGATCATTTTTCAAAACAAAGTTTAGTCATGCATGCAACTACTACTGCCACTTTATGTTTTTAGTTAATTCTGTCTTCCTTTTTTTTAAAAAAAATTTATTTGTTATGATTATTAGTGTGTTCTTTGTATTTTCTAATTATGGGATTTTCTCTCTGGTGAAATTTTTAATGCTTGATTCATAGAAATATTAATGTACTTTGCTTGATTTTACTAGTTATGAATCAATTAGCATTATATTTGTTATGTGTTAATTAATCCCATGCAACGTTACCATGTGGACCTTCTCATTAACCTGAAAATTACCTTGATAATATTAGTCAAAATAAGCTAGCTAGGAGCCAAGGAGTGTAAGAATATAAATACTATCGTCTATATATATCAAACACGTTTAGTACAAAATGACAAACAATAAATTTGGTGTTGTGGAGTGAGTATAGTGAGGTAGCTGAGGGAAGTAAAGGCCATGAAGGACAGCTGTGCACGGAGAAGTAATGTCTACCATGTAAGGTCATCTAATTAATGTACTAAGACACACAATAAATATGTCACACAAAAGTTATGACAAATCTTCATTTAAATCTTCATTAAATTGTCTTCTTGGTCCCCTAAAGCTAGTCATTCTTTTTAAAAAGAGAAAACTTATAACTATTGACTAAGGCAAGTAATTTTGCCAGGACACTTTTTAGCATCCAGGGCAAAAATGACCTTCCTACCCTTATGATATCTTTCTATCTTCTTCCTCGGTTCCGTGTCTCTGTTTTGTCTTCTTTAATCTAATTTCCGTCGCCGGCTTCTTCTCTCCAATAAATCACATCCTTCTTCTTTCTATCCCGCAGCGGCTACAATAAAATTTTCAATAATTTTACTGGCGGCAAGCAATACAACACTAATATTTTCTTCCATCTTCTCGGCAATGTTTTTCTTTTTTTTTTCTTTAACTTTAATTTTATAGCAGATATCGGAATTTTAATTCTAGAAAAACCCAAGCCAAGAATAAAAAGATCAAATTGGGTGGGTAAGTTCTTTGCTTCAATTTGATTGATTTTTAGTGGTAAATTGTATTTGATTTAAATTTATCATTGCTTTGTGTGTTTGATTACTTGAAAGACCTGATCTACAATTTTTTTGAATCAAATTGTTCCTTCAACCTCCACGCTTTTCTCTCCTTTTTTGGGCGTTGATTTGGCGTCCAAGTTTTTCAAATTGAGATTTGAGTTAGACAAATAAGAAGCCGTTATGTGATCGATATTTGGCGTTGAGAGTGTGATTAACTTTTACTTAGATGGGGCAATCTCTCTGAATATATATTGTGAATTTGTGATATAGATGATGGAGCAATTCTTGTAATGTATTATACGAAACCCAAGAAACTCTGCAAACTCACGATGAGGATGATGCATTTTGACGTAATTGGAGTTTGGACTGAGATGTGTTTGCAATTTGTTATGATAGCCATAGCATAGCAACATTTGTGTACTTGTGGGAATATGTTGTACTGTTTATTCATTGCTGTGATTGATAGCTCTTGGAATTGGATTTAAAACAGGGACATAACGAAATGAGACAAGTTTCGATAAGGGGTTTTTTGGAAAGAGAGGTAATTTTTTGCCCTGGATACTATTTTTTGTACTGGCAGAATCAGCATCCATTGACTAAATAGTGTTTGGTGATGACATTGGTATCCTCCAACTCGATCAAACATATGCAGTAAAATTTGTACTCCCTTTATTTTTTTTTATATGTCTTTCTGGATAAATCATCAAAACCAATAATACATTAATTAATGTAATTAAAATACAAAAATATCCTTATTTATTGTCTATACAATCCATCACAAACTAATAGAAATTCATTATAAATACTGTTTCATTTTTAATGCAAAAGTAATATTGATAAAAAGTGGTCAAATATGTATCGATTTGTGAAAACGACATATATTTAAAAAAATTCAACAAATCTTAAAACGACATATATTTCAAACTGGAAAGAGTATCACTAAAAAGTTGGGTACATACTACATAGTGATACTAATGACATCCTACTAGAGAAGTAGGGTGCATCATTGGAATTTTACCAGTACGCATGTGGCAAAATGTAGAAGGGTTTCGTAAATTGATTTCGGGTTTCAGTAACAATATGATGAGATATACAATTTGTATTTTTCATATGTGCTTTTAAAATAAATATTAGTCTAAATATGATATATGTATATATTTAAATCACATCACGATTTTTGTATACGAAAAAACAAGGAAAAAAAAGAAAGAAGAAGAGATGCATGCAGAATAAATGCGCTGCCGCGTACCTCCAATTATATTCACATGAAATGGATATGAAACATGCACTTCATTTTCACTCCCAGAGAAAAGAAAAGAAAAAAAAAAAAAGAAAATGACATGTACTTCAACTTTAACTCTCAAGATATATACTTCAACTGAATAAATACTTCCTTTTCTTCAAATTCCTTTCTCCTCATAACCAACAACTTCATTTTTTCGCATACACAAAGAGGGGAAAAAAAAAGAGTAAATAGGGAAATCAAGATCGTAATTAGTGAGGGACGACAAGACTGTGAACGTTCCAGCATTTCACCAAAGCATCGTGAAAAACAATTGCCCTAGTGTCTAGTTCCTCCCAATAAACTTGTTTTTTTTTTTTTTTGGGGTCCTTTTCTTTTTCTCTCTTTTAGTGACCATGGTTATAAAGAATACACCCGCACACATCCAGATATATATTACAAGGATCATACTATACTAGCTAGTTAATAGTTATCCAGGAAAAATGATCTCAATTACCCGATTCCGATTTAATTAATATAGTAAAATGGATCAAACAAAATCATGAGGCCTTAAGACATTAGAGTTACGAGACAAGAAGGATTTAGAAGAAGAACAAGATCTGGAACGGTTGAATGTAAAATCAGAATGAGCCCTCCGATGATGATCTTCCTTATTGTTAGGAGGTTGTTTCGGAACATTCCGAATTTCCACAACCTCCACATCCCACAACATCTTGTTATGCGTCGACGTCCGATGTGGGATATCATGCGTGATCGAATTCCTCCACGGTGGCACCCCTCCATTGGGCCTCAGGAAATTGCCCCAAATCGCTGTGTGAAGCTTTACTTGAAACCCATCCCTAATGGGCTCCCAATCGATTCTTGGATCCCTGTCGCTTTCCGGGACCGTTTGAAGAACTCTTCTTCCCGTTATCGTTTTGGGCACGAAGGGTATGTTTGACGCCGTGAGATACGTTCCGTAACAACTTACGAGACGTAACGCGTTGTTTGTTCCCGGCACGAATTCAACGGTCCAGGTCGCGTTCTTCGCTGACCCGTCTCGATCTTGGATCACGGTTTCTCCGTCGTCCAATGCCGTTAGGTACTTGTCCCTGTAGCTCCTCAGCCGAATCGTTTTCGCTTTCTGGAACAGTTCCATATATAATAATAATAATTTCTGCAATATGTATATTCATTTTTCAATGTGTTTGTGTGTCACAAGAAATGTGTAAATTAATATTTTAAGAAACAGAAGAATAAGGAAATTAGATGATGATGAAATTGTGAATAAATGCACATACCTAGAGTTGTGAAATACCAATGGAAAAAAGCTGTCCGAAATGTATCACCTGGTTTGTTGGAAGGGAGATCAGATCAAGGATGAACTAGATGTATGGAGGAGAAAGAAGAGGGGAGAAAGAATGATGTTCCATCCGTGAAGGATTTTTTTTTTTTTTTTTTTAAAAAAGAAAAACTACATGGATCATTTTACGTTATGTCTTCGAATGGTTTTTTTCCAGCTTAGTGCAACTATTTTATGGCATTAGTTACTTCTTGCTGCAATATGAGCCATGCTTCATAGTATAAACATTTGTTATTCGCCAAGCTAGCTTGCTATATTCTTTGCCACTTTGGCTATATTTATTGGACTTTTTTTTAGGAAGAATGAAAAGTTTGTGAAGGCCACACAGAGAGAGAGAGACACCCATTAAAAAAAAAAGGTCTAATTTATATTAATATTTTGGCCAATGATATTACCAGAGCAAAAATTAGGATATAAGGTAAAAAATGAATACATTTCAAAATTTTTGCTTTGTATCATAATTTGGTCAATCTCACCATCAAGGCTCAAGGGTAGTATGGAAAATATATCAAATTTTTTTTTTTTCTGGATCCTAATTTCTGCTCTCGCAATATCATTAGCCTAATATTTTTCCTTCACTTCAAAATGATTGTTATATTTTTATTGAATAATGATAGGTAGCTCACCTAAATAACTCACCTTATCATCTCACCTTACATGGCATCTACTGATTGGGCAATGCATTTGTTATTTAAATCTAAATAGATTAAATTAAAATATTACTACTTCCATCAAAAAAAAAAAAATAGTCCATATTGAGTTTTGAATTTTATACTAAAAATAGTACAAATTTAAAAACTCAATGTGGACTTTTTTTTTTTTGGGAGGAGGGGGGGCGGAAGTAGTATTATATTTTTTATTATTATTCGGCCTACTTATTATATTTTATTTAGTTATAATTTTACCCTAAAGGGTTTATTTTTCTAGGGGTTAGGGTCTATTTATTTTAAATTTTTAGATATATAAGTATTCAAAAAGTAAATAAATCTAACAAAAAATTATTAAATTAACTTATTAGGTTTTATCTAATAATTAATTAACTTATTAAATTTCATCCAATAACTAAATACCATGTAAGGTGAGATGAGATGTGTATCATTACTCATTTTTATTTGAGTAAACCCCCATAACCATCTATATACATTTGCTTAAAATCAAATTTTGGTCTCAAACATTAACAGTTGGAATGGTCCCCAACATTATAGTTGACAATTTTTTTTAGTCAATTTCACTCGTTCGGCATATTTTCTGTCAAGTTGACCTTGGACCCATCCGTTGGCAACGGTTTTTTTTTTTTGTCATTTTATATTATTTATTTTTTTTTGATGAAAGATTAATATGTATTAACTTCTCAAAACATCACTCCGTTTACATCCTATCTCATTTATTACATCCTTTATAACCAAACCGACCAAACAGACCAACTATACAAGAATTCCTAGTCTATCCATATACAATCTTTCAATATTCGTAACCTTTTTACATCATCCTCTAATCCTCCACCTCACCTCCTTCTTTACTTCTTCCACCAATACCTCCTCACTGACCAATTTCCTTCCATGCTGTACAGAATTCCTGGTCTTCTAAACATGATACATTGCTGTAGCCAGAGTTCCAATCATAATGCTCTTCTTGCCTTTACTGAATTTCCAAATATTCCTTAATCTTGTTTCCCAAAAAGAGATCTTTTCAGGGATTCTCCTGCATTCCAGCCAAGTTTTCAGTTTTTGTAAGACCAAATTTGAATACTTACACTGGAAGAAAAGATGATCCAAGCTTTCCTCTTCAGCTGAACATAGACAACACCATAAGGGGGAACTAATGATATTCAGTCTAAGCAACCTTTCAGACGATAGTATCCTCTTCTTCAAAGCCAACCACAGCATGAAACTATGTTTTGGAGTATTGTATCTGTTCCACACCACCTCAGCTGCCTTCATTTTCAAACCAGATCCTCTGAACCATTCGTAACCATTTTTGGTAGTATATTCTCCCTTCTTTCCCCCTATCCATTGGCCTTGTGAAACTCCTGGCTGAATCTGATCTTTTATCTTCATCAAATATTTCTAATACCAAGAAACTCTCTTTGCTGGCGTATACTCCCATATGCTCTGTCCCTTCAAATAGTACTCGTGATACCATTTGACCCATAAATTGTCTTTTTTGACAGCTAAATCCCAAATCTGTTTACCCAATACTGCTTGGTTCTAGCTCACTGGTTCTTTAAAACTCAATCCCCCTTGCCTCTTTGGCCAACACAAGTTATCCCAGGCGACAAGAGCAAACGACCTACCATTTTCTTTTACTCCCCAAAGAAAATCCCTACAAACTCTTATAACTTGTTTAATAATACTATTTGGAAGCATGAAAATCGACGCCCAGTAAGAATGAAGGTTCAAGAACACTACATTAGCTAATATAGCCCTACCAGTGTAGGATAAGTGTCGTGTTGTCCAACACTTAACCCTAACTATAACCTTATCTATCAGGGTCTGACAATCAATAGCAGTCCACTTACTAGGTGATATAGGAACACCTAAATATTTCATAAGAAAACTTCCTCTTTTAAAACCAGTAATTTTCTCGATCTTCTGTCTCTCTATTGCATTAACACCACCACAATATACACATTTTATAATATTTCAATTTCCAGGAAATTGAAAATTCGTAAATATTAAAATATTTATAAGAGTTAATAAATCTTAATAACAAACAATATAATTTCAGAAAGTTTTTAAATTTAGTTTTTACCCCTGACTCATATAGATTTATTTATTACCAGTTAGCAAATGCATTTCCTTTTTCTTTTCCTTTTTTTTTCCACTTCAAATGAGTAACCCAATTCTTAATTTTTTTTTTTTAAAAAAAATACCGTGATCTCTTGATCCAGTAACGGTATACTAAATAAAAATATATATATAAAATTAACACCATGAATTTATGCTAGTTTCTCTCCTTATCCTCAAAATCAAAATCATGAATTATTTATAATCAGACCATATCGATCCCGGAAGTTGTACAAATTTGCTGACATGAGGGATTGGGAGTAGTGTTTCTGAATGGTCCGTAATAACAATTTGCTCTCTTTGGCAACATAAGATCAAAATCCAGAAATCCCATCGCCACCATCACCCCACCTTGCCGTAGCAGCCACAATTTGCTTAGCTAGCACAAAATAGTCATAGAGAAGATAAATCTTTCTTCAAGAATTTTTTTAATAATTCAAACACTAACCTGACCTGAAAAACATACAACCTCAAAATAATTTCAGGTATTCAGTTAATATGTTGAAGCTTATTAGTTGTAATTTTTTCACGTTGTAATTGCAAGGAATAGAATGCTCTGGAATTTTTTTTTTCTTGTGTTGTACTACCTCCGACTCAAAAAGAAGTTCACATTGAGTTTTCAAATTTGTACTAAAAACAGTACAAAACTCGAAATTCAATGTGAACTATTTTTGTGGGACGGATGGAGTATATAAAATCTGAATTATATTCGCCATCTCAACTCTATAAATCCCACATCAGCATCCCGTTCACTATTTTTGCGCTATATAAGATTCGACAAAAAACTATCATTTGACGAGCTCAGGAAACGTGAGTTTGTTATCCAAGTGGGGGCAATAAAGTGATTGGACTTTTCTATTAATTGGGCTTGTACATATCCTACCATTTCCTGGTGCACAGGTTGTATGCCTCCATAGATAATGGGCTACGGAAGGCGTTGTCTAAGTTGGTGCTCTTGTAATGCAATAGCCTGATTTCCAGATTTCAGAGGATAAAAGGAGAATTTGGGAAGAATAGGGAGAAAAGAACTTCTGTTAAGAAGAAAAATAAGGAAGGAAGAGGAAATTTTAATGGATTGAACGATAAGATCAAAACTCCAGTACACAGTACATATTATACTTGTTAACGTTCCTCAACGGTGTTATCTAACGTTAACGGAATCTGAGTCTACGATGCTAAATCCTTCTAGAAACACAAACATTCTGAACAAGTAAAAGAGTGAAAAGATAATAAATAAGAGCCTGTGTAGTTTTGAACCCGGAACCTCTCTCCTAGCTACTTTACTAAATAAACCCTGAGAATTTAATTGAAGCGTGACAATGCCTCCCTCTTGAATGAAAGCTTGTCCTCAAGCTTTAAACTCTGGAAACTGTTTAGTGATGAAGGTCTTGTCCTCCCACGATGAGTCATCTCGCTCCAAGCCTCTCCATTTTACCAGCCATTGCACCACATTGAGCTGATTCCGTTTAATCATTCTCCTCTGTAAGACACTTTCAGGGACTAGGGTGCTTTCTTCATGAATTGAAAAATCAGGCGGGTCAGTGGTACTCACCGGATGAGAACCATGGTGTTTTTTGAGTAACGACACATGGAATACGGGGTGAATTCTCGCATGATCTGGTAGTTTTAACTTATAAGCTACATTGCCAATCTTTTCAATTACTTCATACGGACCATAACACTTGGAGATGAGCTTCAGGGTGTTTTTGATGGCCATGGATTGCTGTCGGTATGGCTGCAATTTTAAGTAGACCCAATCTCCCACGTTTAACACCCTTTCAGTCCTCTTCAAATCAGCGTAATACTTCATCCTCTCCTGAACCTTGGCTAAGTGTTCCTTCATAATTTTGTTCACTTCAATCCACTGTTTCACCATGTCTTCAGCCGCAGGTATGATAGCATCATGATAAGGACCTAAAGGAAGATGAATGGGCTTGCTGCAGTAGAGAACTTCATACGGGGACTTGTTGAGGCTGCTATGATGAGTAATATTATACCACCACTCGGCTAATGATAATCATTTTCTCCAGCTAGAAGGTTTAATTCCTGCAAAACACCTCAAGTACGTCTCTAAACATTGGTTCACTCTTTCGGTTTGTCCGTCGCTTTGCGGATGATAAGCTGAACTCATACAGAGTTGTACTTGGAGCAACCTGAAGAGTTCCTGCCAAAATAGACTGGTGAAGAGCTTATCTCGATCACTGACTATTGTTTCCGGTAACCCGTGCAACTTGTTGACTTCTTCCAGAAACAGTTCAACAATAGTAGTGGCAGAAAACGGGTGTGAAAGGCATATAAGTGACTGTATTTGGTCATCCTGTCAACTACAACCAATATAGTATCGTGTTTCTGATCTGATAAGGGTAATCTTTCAATAAAGTCCATGGAAATGTGCCTCCATACTTGCTGTGGAATAGCCAAGGGTTGCAGTAACCCCGGATATTGAACATGTTCTCCTTTGTTTCGTTGACAAACTTCACAGGATCTGATAAACTCCTCTATCTCTTGTTTCTGTTTTGGCCAAAAGAAAAGCGATCTGATTCTTTGTATCGTGGCGGTTTGTCCTGAGTGACCACCAATTGATGAAGAATGCATGGCGTTTGTGATACTCCTTCGAATTCCTCCAGACTTCCCAACGTAAATCTTGTCCTTCATCTTCACTATGCCATTTACCAATTGATAATCTGACTGGGTTGCAGGAGTAATTGCCAACTCTGCTTGGATCTGATGTACCTCCTCGTCTCCTTCGTAGCTGTTTATGACTTCCTGCATCCATACGGGTTGTACACCTGAGATGGCTTGGCAAGTTTCAAGATCAAGAATTACCTCATTTTTCTTTGACATTTCTGGCCTTGGAATCCTTGATAACGCATCAGCTGCCTTGTTCTCCACTCCTTTTTTATACTGTATTTGGTAGTCAAGGCCTAGAAGCTTAGTCAGTCATTTATGCTGCATGGACGTGCTGAGTTTCTGCTCTAACAAGTACTTCAGAGCTTGATGATCCGTCTTCAAGATGAAGTGATTACCAACAATGTAGTGTTTCCATTTTGAAACTGCCATTACCACCGCAAGTAGTTCCTTCTCATAGACTGATAACCCGCGATTTTTGGCGCTGAAAGCTTTACTCAGATAAGCAATTGGATGCTTGTCTTGTAACAAAACAGCCCCCATACCTGATTCGCACGCATCCGTCTCAATAACAAACGGCTTAGCGAAATCCGGCATTTGTAGTACAGGTGCTGTCATAATGGAATGCTTAAGTTTCTCAAATGCAGCAGTTGCTTCCTCACTCCAGTGAAATCCATCTTTCTTTAACAGGTTAGTGAGAGGTTTGCTTATGATCCCATAGCCTCTTATAAACCTTTGGTAGTAGCCAGTCAGCCCTAGGAAGCCTCTTAGTTCTTTTACAGTTTGCGGTACCAGCCATTCCTGTATACACTTCACCTTTTCAGCATCCATGCCAACCCCTTGTGCTGAAATAGTGTGACCCAAATACTCAACGCTTCTCTCAGCAAAAACACACTTTGATCTCTTGGCGTATAATTGGTGACCTTGAAGGATTTGTAATACCATTTTCAGATGATTTAAATGCCCCTCCCAGCTGGTGATGTATACTAGGATGTCATCGAAAAATACCAAGACACATTTTCGGATCAGCGGTTAGAAAATTCTGTTCATTAGAGCTTGAAAGGTCGCCGGGGCGTTGGTGAGACCGAATGGCATTACTAAGAATTCGAAGTGCCCATGATGCGTTTGAAACACTGTTTTAGGCATGTCTTCGTTTCTCATTCGGATTTGGAAGTAACCCGACCTCAAATCCAATTTCGAGAAATAGTCAGCTCCTTTCAACTCGTCCAGTAGCTCATCGATCACTGGAATGGGGTACTTATCCTTGACGGTTAACTCATTGAGCCTTCGGTAGTCTGTGCAAAACCGCATTTCACCATCCTTCTTAGGGACTAGCAATACAGGAGATGAATAAAGGCTGGAGCTATGTTGAATAATTTGATTTTCTAGCATGTTGTCAACCTGTCTCTCAATCTCGTCTTTGTGGGAATGTGGGTATCGATATGGCTTCACTTTGAATGGTTGTGATCCTGCCTTCAGCTCAATACAATGCTCGATCTCCCTAGCAGGTGGCAGCCCTTTTGGAATCATGAAAACTACTTCAAATTGCTGCAACAGATCCTCTAGTTCATGCGGCATTTTGATTGCCTTTGTCTCTGATATTACACAGCTCCTCTCCGCCACGTCATAAACCCTGCAGTATCTTTTGCGTTTCCTGACCTCAATATAGACCCTTAAGTCATCACTATGGATCATGTTTACAGACGGATCCTGAGTGCCACCAAATAACAGATATCTCCTTGTTCCTCTAGTCAGCTGGATGTTGTTGTTTTCATAATAAAAAATGACGGGGCTAAAGTTCGACATCCAGTCCACTCCGAGTATAACATCTAAGCCACTAAGTTCATGATCTTAAAATCGAACGCAAACTCATATTGTTGCACATCCCAGCAGAGTTCAGGACACATGAATGATCCCATAGCACTGTTCCCATCTGCCATTTTAATACAGAAAGGTTCAATCGCCTTATAGTGCAATGATAAAGCTGTAACCACACTTGGATCCACAAAGCTTGATGTACTGCCTGTGTTAATGAGTATATTAACCCATCTTCCTTTGATCTTTCCTCTGATTATGATGGTTTTCCTCTTACACTTACTGTTTAAAGAATTCAAGTACAACCTTCTCACCCCTTCAGTGATGATCTCCTCTTCTTCTGGTAACTCAAGCAGTTCCAAGTCAGGTGGTTCTGTTTCTTCACCCTCTGAAACAATCAAGTATACATTGCCCATACTACATTGGTGTCCCAGTCCATATTTTCCCCACATTTATAACACAAGTTATGATTCCTTCTATACTGAACTTCTTATGGTGATATTCTTCTAAATTTATCATTCTGATAATGCTTATTGTCCCCTTGTTTCCAACCAATTCGGGGAGCATTTTGTCTACCAGGAATATTAGGGGTTTTGTGCCTACTTACAGCATCGGATTTCTCCTTCTTCGTCTGCAATTCCCACGTCATTTCCTGGTGAATCGAAATCTCCATCGCTGAAATCAAATCTCTGGGAGTCATCATCCTCACCACAGGTTTAATTTCTTCTTTCAATCCGCTGATAAAACTGGCTATGAAGTACTGTTCAGTCAATCTGGGATCTTTCCTGAGTACCTGAGACTTAAGGTCTTCAAACTGCTCTATGTATTCCAGTACCGAACCATGCTGCTGCAGTTTATTAAATTCCTCACACTCATTTTTCCTTCCTTTAAGCTCAAACCTTCTGACCAGGGCCACTGAAAATTCCTCCCAGTTAAGCCTTCCCTTCACTATCTTTACTCCTTCAAACCAAATCTCTGCTTTACCGCTTAAACACAGTTCCGCCGTCGCCACCTTTGACAGATCCGGAGTCTGGTACAAAGTAAAATATTTTTCACATTTTCGGATCCATTCCCTCGGATTCTCCCCTTCAAAGCTACTGAGCTCTACTTTGGGATAGTTATACCCACCGTTTCTGTTTGCACGATCCTTTGTACCCCATGGAGTATCATCCTCTATAACCATTTTCGAAGGAATCTTGGGAGTATCCAAAAGCGGTGACTTTTCTAGATCTGGGGTTGAGCTTTCACCTTTGAACACCACTCTATCCTTTGACATCGCCTGGATCCAAGCTTCAATTTTTTCCCATCTGTCTTTCGACTGACGAGCTTCTCCCTGAATACTATCAATCTGTGATTTCAAATATAGCACTGCGTTATCCAAATTGATCAATTTCATATCTAAGGATTGGATGTTGCCTTCAACCTTGTTTTCAACAACGCAGACTGCCTCATTGACCAATTTTTTGACATGTTCATCACTCACTGTACCCCCTGTTCTATCATAGCTACTCCCCCACAGTCAGAGGATCAAAGCTCTGATAGCCAAATGTAACGCAATAGCCTGATTTCCAGATTTCAGAGGATAAAAGGAGAATTTAGGAAGAATAGGGAGAGAAGAACTTCTGTTAAGAAGAAAAATAAGGAAGGAAGAGGAAATTTTAATGGATTAAACGATAAGATCAAAACTCCAGTACACAGTACATATTATAGCTGTTAACGTCCTCAACGGTGTTATCTAACGTTAACGGAATCTGAGTCTATGATGCTAAATCCTTCTAGAAACACAAACGTTCTGAACAAGTAAAAGAGTAAAAGAGTGAAAAGATAATAAATAAGAGCCTGTGTAGTCTTGAACCCGGAGGCGAAAAGAGTCGCGTGAACGGCGAAGGCCACCTTGTTGTAGTCGTTACAGAAGGTAGGCCGAGCTTCCTTATTACTGCCATGACTGATTGCTCTGTTGGAGGCTCTGACGTCATCATCATTGTTGTTTTTTTGCGGTTGTTTTTCTATCTTTCGGGAGACAAATGAGTCTTCAAGGAGAAGAAAGAATACCAGTGTGTTGAGTCACGCATTGCTAGCGATTTTTAAATTGTCATGGCTTCGGTCGTCAGACGTAGCCGGATTGAAACTGGCGATCACCGGGTTATTTCTTTTATTATCCCGGCAATAGTGAAATAATAAGTAATGAAATAGTAAATATTGAAATAATGAGTAATTAAAAAATAACATTTTATTAAAGTAAATAGTAAATGTAATATCACGTAGTTATTGTAAAAATTTACCACGAAACCTATTAGTATCCTAATTGAACGACATGTGTCCCGGAGAAAAAAATTACTTTCATATATATATAGAAGATTAATACAAGATGAAAATAGCTTACTTGGCATGGAATTGGAAGCTCACGTAAGTTGGAAGTAAAAAAAATAGATTTAATTGTGATTACAATACATCTTAACCGTAGAAGATAAATTTATTTTAACTTTTTGCAACAAACTTTTTTAAATAAGTAGTCTGATAATGAAACTCAAATAGAGTCTAGGTTATCCTAGATTATTTATATGGGATTTGTTAAATATTGTTCTATTTAAATGTAAATATTGTTCTATTTAAACTCCATGACAATAAACAATTCAAAACAATCAAGTATTTCTCTCTGTTTTATTTTTTCTTTAAAACTTTTATTCCTTTCTTAGAGTTTTTTTTTTATTCAACGAGTTTCTTTCTTACATATTTTTTTTTTCTTATTCAATATAGGTTTGTGTTCAATGCAGACACTCTCAATGGATGTGGAGTATCTGTGCATAATGCCAGAAAATATTACCAGTGATTACAGTGAGAATATATCTTATTTATTTTTCTTTACATTTTACTCTATATATTCACCTTTCTCATATCATAAAGATAAAATGAACAATGAAAAATATTCATCTTACAAATTTTCTGACATGAAAAATAAGAGTAAAAAATTCAAATGCAAAGTTAAAATTACAATATAAATGTTCAGCTATTACTTGAGAAGTTTTAGCTTAGATTGTATTTTTTAGGAGAATTTTGGATATCTTTTTATGACCAAGCGAGTATATATAAATGCATCTTTCAACGCAATTACTCTTACATTTTTTTGATAATATTTATTTTAAACAAATAATGCAGGAAAAATTTTACAACCCACACAATGTGCGGTTCACCCACTAGTAATTCAAAAAAAAACCATAAAAAGCAAAACATTAATTCTAAGAAAATTTTAGGTTTTTTTAATCATTTTTTATTACTGCTTTTCTTATTTATTACTATCGTAGTCAATAGTACGAACATATTTTAAAATAAACACCCTTGTAGACGGGTGGATACTGTAATAAACAAAATGATGAAAATACCCTTGACGGGTGGGTCAAAGCTCAACTGGACAGAAAATGTGCCGGAATAATAAAGCGGGACAAAAAAAGTTACAACTATAATGTTTGACTATTCCAATTGAATGTTAATATTTGAGACCAAAATTTGATTTTGAGTAGATGTATGAGACCACTATGGAGGTTTACCTTCTTTTTTTTTTTTTACAAATTGGACTAGAAGTGAAAATAGAACAATCATTTTGGAACAGAAAGAGCATAATGAATTTTATATTTCTAAGTTTATGTATGGCAAATTATTAAGTTTAATAATTTCAAAATAATAATAATAATAAAAACTTGGGTGGGCGTTAACATAATTACGTAAGAAAAAATTGGTCCATATGAAATTGTCACAAATATCAGGTGGATCACTGAAATTATCTCTTTAACTATTTTCACATCCATAACTCTATCAAATGTGCCAGTTTTGACTCTCACACTACACAATTTCAGTCACCCCCCAAAACCTCTGCCTCCACCGCAGTCCGGCGTCGTAGGGGCCTTGTGGGAAGCGGGTGGACAGAATTCTGCAGTGGGAATGGGATTGCTCTGAAGCTTCATAAGTAAATTCCTCCTCTTCTATTCAGTAAGTTTCTCCACTCCCTAGCTTTCTACCTTGTAGTATGCATTTCATGTGCTTGATAGTAAGTCAATTCCAATAAAATATGAGGAATTCGTGACTTGAGCAATGGGGGCCCTTTTTGAATTTCTGTTTTTTCATCTGAATACAATTTATTTTTAGCTGCCTTTAGCAGAGGGATGGTGGTGCTGCATTTGGGTTTCTTTGGAACTACTTGTTCTTTTCTGTTAACATTCTCTTTTTTGTCACTGTGTTGTTGTTTTTTTCTGGCTTTATTCTATTGGGATGCCCAACATGTATTTAACCTACTTTTTGGTATTCCTGCTGATTTATACTTTGGGTCAAAGATGTATTCTTGGAAGCATGTTATCTTCTACTCCCTCCAGTGCTAGTTTTGGTATTCCTCTTATTTGAACTAACTCTAGAGCTAATTTATGCCTCATAATTAGTTCAATAGGGAGCATTTGTTTACTTGAACATCTTCCATATATATGTCTGCTGGTGTTTGGAATCTTTTGAGACTGATCTCTGTTCTTGTGCTAAATCAACTTAGAGAATTTTTTACTTTGACTCTAGTTTGGCGCTCGAATGGAATTAAGTGTCTTTGTGATTTGGATCGGGTATTTCTCGATATTGATTCGAAACCGTTAATAATCATGTAAACTTGGGGTCTATAATCATGTAAACTTGGGGTTTTCCCTTGATGCTAATGTAGTAAATTTGGTTCTTGATATCAGATTCCATTTTTATTTTGTGTGTGTAGAAAATGTGGTTTTCCATTGTCTAGTTTGATTGACTTGATTACAGAATTCCTCTGATGTTCTTGGATAAATGTTGTCTCTGAAGAACCAAGCAGTTAAGCTCTGGGTTGTATAGAATTTGAATGCTATATGGTATTCATATTTAAAAGAGGAAGTCCCTTGCCCTTTAGTGTAATTCGTTTTAAGCATGCCATGTGGTATATGAAGTTCGAAAAGAACACGTCCTTTGACATATTTACTTATTTTGTTCTCTATTTTCATATCAAGCTCGTCGCATAGCTATGAGTTGTAGTAAGTGTAATCTGGATCCATTTAAAAATCTGAATGCGCTAAGCTTTCTGGATAATCTTTTAGGGACATGGAAACCAGTAACAGCCACAATGGTGGTATTATGTGGTTCTTTAAAGACAAAGGTTTTGACGACAATAGCATTCATGAGATGCTGAAGAAGTGTAAACGCCTTGAAGGTGTACCAAGAGAAAAAGCATCTGAAAATTGGGCTTATTTGAAAAGCATAGGCATTCAAGAAAGGAAACTTCCATCTATGGTTGGAAAATGTCCGAAAATTCTAGCTCTTGGCTTGAACGAGAAATTGGTGCCTATGGTTGAGTGCCTCGCAACACTGGGGACAAAACGTAACGAAGTTGCATCTGCTATTACTAAATTTCCTAACATACTCTCGCACAGTGTAGAAGAGAAGCTGTGTCCGCTTCTGGCTTTCTTTGAATCCCTAGGTCTTGCAGAAAAACAAATCGGTAAAATGATGCTTTTGAACCCCAGAATCATTAGCTACAGCATTGAGACAAAGCTTTCTGAACTAGTGCAGTTCCTTTGCAGTCTTGGATTGACAAGAGATGAAATGATTGGTAAAATTCTGGCAAGACACCCCTTCATTATGGGTTTTAGCGTTGACAAAAGACTGCGTCCGACATCAGAGTTCTTGAGATCATTGGGTCTAACTGAAGCAGATCTGCAAAGAGTAGTTATTAATTTCCCTGAAGTTTTGTCTAGAGATGTCGAAAAGATACTGAGGCGCAATGTTGAATACCTGAAGTCCTGTGGGTTTGGACATGGGCAAATAGCAGCTCTGGTTGCTGGTTACCCTCCAGTTTTGATCAAGAGCGTGACCAATTCCTTAGCCCCAAGAATTGAATTCTTGACGCATGTGATGGGGAGAAGAATTGACGAAATTGCTGAATATCCGGACTTTTTCAGACATGGTTTGAAGAAAAGATTAGAGCCGCGGCATAAAGTTTTGAAAAAGAAAAATATTATCGTTAGTTTGAGTGAAATGTTAGACTGTAACCAGAAGAAGTTTGTTTCCAAGTTTTGTTTAGCCGAGCAGCTTGCATAACTCAATCTTAGACACTAAAATTTTTCGCTATTGATTGCCTGTGGTTGTTTAGCCTCACTGGCCTAAACTGTTCTCTTCTTTCTGTTCCTTATTGATGGTTCATTAATTCGCCATGTGGCCCTTTTAAAGAACAATCAGATCACCCTAACAGCACCGTAGAACTACAGTCAGAATACTTCACAACATTCAAAGAAATCACATAAATATGCTCCGAAGAACTGATAAGCTTCAAATAGAAATTGAAGATTAGCATGTGCAAGAAGTTTCTATGACATGGAACAGTCATTAGCATCTACATGAGAAGTCTACCTTACGAGCCAGTAACTACAAGTATAACAACAAGACAGAATATTTGCTCTCCTCAAATTTGTTCAGTTTTTCAGAACAGAGGCAAATATTAAGTACCCTTCATCCTCTCCAATATACATTCTATGAAGGCATATCAAAGCTAAAGAGACATGTTAGGCGACTTGTCAGCTTAAATGAGATTCAAACCAATCCATAATCTGCTCAGACGGTAAGCTAGTCATTTCATGATAAGCATAAGCAAGATTCATTTCCTCCTGAATGTGATTGAATAATGACTCATCAGGCAAGGTAATTCCTTTGTCCTTTAGAGATGCTTTCCACTGTATTGCACGCCCATCATTCATCATGTAACCATCCTTATCAATGAATCCTTTTTCTTTGAACAAGTAGAATAGCTGCGCTGACAAGTTCTTATCGATTCCTGCAATTACATCAGCGAAGTGATTTGGCGTCAGGGGAAACTCCATGCACTTTATCTCTTCGACATTGATCCCTTTTTCTCTTAGAACTACCAAGTACTTATCGATCCTTTGCTTTCGAGCTTCATCTTTGGGCATGTGTACAAAAAGTGTGGGAGGATAAGTGCTTTTGATGTCCATCTTTCCAAACATCCCTTCCGCTATCATTATAGTAATAGCACTAAACTTTACCCGAGTAGCAAGTACAGAAACAAAATATCCCCCAGATGATGCACCAAGAGCCAAAAGAGGGAGCTCATTAAGTTTTTCTTTCGCCCGCCACCACTCAATAGTATCTCTGACAACCAGTAGCTCCTCACCAAAAGTCCAACATCTTCCAGCACTTGATATGGCAACAATGGCAAAGTTTCTTGCTAACGCATGAAGAACAAGAAGCCTTTCTTCGGGCAAACCAACGCACTTTTCACATGTGGGAGATTTATCCCAAAAGTTTCCAGCTCTGCCATTACAACCATGAGCCAGGAAGAGCACTGCTTTGGGTGAGCCAGGGACTTGGGAGATCACCTCTCTACCTTTTCTGAGCTGAACAGTTGGATCTAACCTAATTATAGGATTAAAAGTACCCCAATCTGGCTCCAATATCGTAGGCAATGGATCAGTTTTTCTACCTCTAGTTCCAAAAACTAGCATCACCGATATGAATAAGAGTATCAGCAATGCAACTAATGCCCAAAATGTAAAACTCCGACCAGAATTCGAATGCCTTAATGCTCTACGCCCTCGTCTAAACATTTCTGAAACAGAGAAACAACACAAAATAGAAATCCATCAACCTTCTGTTTAGCCACAATTGCCAACATGCACACAATGATTTTGTATAACAACAAACGAAATTAATCAAATTAATCCTTTGAGACAAAGTGAAATCCCATTTCAGCTTGATTTCAAATATGGGCAGGAAACCAACAAGCACTTATCATTCCTATTTTATCTTTATAAAATAAAATAAATTCAGGTGTTCTAACAAACCAACGTGAAAATACGAACTCAAATCTCCAAAAAGCACATGCATTTCTCAAATGGCCAAGGGAAAAAAAAATAGTTCCGGGGACCGTATTAAACCGCCGTTCACAACACAAAAACGAAGATTAAAAGAGTATTCCATAAATCATTACTTCACATTTCCAAGAAAAGAATTCCAAAAATTGAAGAGGAAAAAATATCATTTGGGAAACCGTAATTACCGGAAATCATCTTGTCGACGGTTCCACCACATCAGATGGAAGGAGGCAGCAAGAACATTGTTTGAGCCCGAAACGACGGCGTTGATGTCAGATCTTTCTTCCAGCGTCAAAATGCCATCGCTCGGGGTCGCGGCCGGAGTCGTCTGCTTTTCACTCGCTGCCGCAGTCAGGGATTACGGCGTCGTATACTTAACCTCTGGGCTCAAACTCTAGTTTATGCCTCGCTAATGACAATAAAGCCCGTTGATGTTGATGAGAGCCTCAATTAAGTAAATTGGGCTTTCCCATTAAAAATTGGGAAGATTTTCTGGTATTTTAAAATTAAATTATTTTTTTTAAAAAAAATAATTATTGGACAAAATTTTTAAAAGATTACTTTTGTATTTGATCAAGGTTAAAAGTTATTTTAGCTTTGGACAATATCTAACTCGAATTAGGGCCTTTAGATATGGAACCGATTTCAAGATCAATTTGGAGGCTTAATTGAGATTACAATATAGTTAATAATCATTATATATATTAAAGGAAAGAAAGATAATCGACACGTGTCGCTCATTCGAGCCATCAATAGTTTCAGTAACACATGTCATTGTCTAATTGGATGGTCATTAATCAGTAAAAATTTTATGTGAAGCGGTACATCCTAAATTTTACTTATTATAATTTCAATTGATTAATATTTATGCTTTTAGACTTTTAGTCATACACGTAAATAGGAACATATGCTTTTAATTTGTTTTGTCCTACTTCAGCATTGGTGACATCCACGATTGTCATGATCATCATAAATCCGATTTCCGACTAAAAACACTGATGTTTCATGCTACCATTGAATCTTTTTACCTTTCTTAGGGGTTTTGTGGAACTCTTTAGGGGATCATTTTTGTGTAAAAAACGGTAAATTATAATAGTCTGAATTCAATATTGTAGTTCGGCCCTTTATCAATTTATCAATAACCTCACGGTGAATGACTGGAGTTCATTATGGGGATTGTTTCGCGCGGTTGGACGGAACAAAACGGCAAAACGGATGAATAATGAACCGCAGAATGGCAAGCGATGAACGATGAAGAGCAGAACGGTAAAAGATAGATTCTCGGTTCCGACCTCATTAGCTCGGATTCCAGCATGGATCGACTGAATTGAGATATGGGTTTTCTGTAACTCATTATGGGGATCATTTTGACTTCAAAAATGATGAGTTTTGTGCACCATAATGCAAGATCAGAGTGCAACAGCGGGGATCCCTTTTGGCTGACAAATATATTTTTTTGGCCGGAAAATTTCAAATCGGGAGGTTGAAGATGACAATTTTTAAAAATTGCTAAAAAGCCCTATGTTTCTAAGAACCCTTTCACTTGAAAGCTGAAACTTTTAATTAGTTGTCAATTTGGTCCTTAAAGTTCCATTGATGTGTTACCTAGTTCTTCAAATTCGTCAATTTTACACTTTCAAGGACTATTAATTGTGCCTTATAAGTTATCCTTTTGATTGTGGGCTAAATTCAAGTTGACCCGAAAAAAGGATACGTGTCAGGAGTCCATACATATAGAGATTTAAATAGCAAAATAATGGAACTTGTGAAAAAATGCTTTCCTTATTGCAATATTTTTGTTAATTATGAAATTATTGTATGGTGAGAAAATATATTTGGGGACTGAAAAGAATAAAAGAGGCATCAATTTATATATAAGTTCGAACACAATAAAATATTTAAACAACCACGAAAGTAGTATTACCCTCTGGTGTAGTTGTGGAGAGCTTTTATTAATTTATTATACTATCAAAAAGGAATATCGATTCGCAATGTAATTTGATCTGTTAATATTGTTTAATTTAACACAAAGCCGCCCATACCAAATATAAATAAAAATCTAAAGTTGTATTATGATATATACTCTTACAACTGATACAAAATAATTAACTCAAAAAAAAATTTAATTAGTGGCTATAGTATTTTCTAATTAATATTAATTGGAAGAATGCTTGCTTACTTTTTTTAAATTTTTTTTCTTGATTGGTTGTACTAATTTGATAATGAGTTAATGACTATAATAAATTATATAAATGTGCTATGACTATTTGAAAATTTGAAAATAGAAACGTTCTAATGGTCCCGATTGGTTTCAATAATTTTCAAGAATTAATGAAAATCTTGGTTTAAGAACTATTAATACATTGACTAGGGTAATCAAAAAAGGAGATTAAAATAAAAATTGTTATTTAATTTAATTCTGTTAATCTATGCGAAAATTGGTAACTCTCTTGACAAGAACTCGAAGCTCTATTCCAAAGGTTTGCGAAAGATATATTAATGAGGAGGAGGCTACATTACACCTTTTTGTCAAATATTTTGGCCATTTCCCGTGTTAATGTTTCTTGTGTGCATTTTTCCTTTTTTTTTTTTGTTGCAAAACAAAACAGTACAATCTATCCAGATATGAATTTGGATGCCAATCTATCAACATGTTACTTGGCCTCCCTAACAAATTAAAGAGGGTCATCAAGGGTAATTATTCAAGTTTTATTCAATTTCTCTAACAATTAAAATTTTCTTCCTACTTTTCATCTTACGTGATTTTTGGGATTTTCTCAAATACTTGGTATCAGAATAATGTGTTTGTCAGATGTGTACATTGAATCGAGTACGTAAGAAAGACTTTTTAGATGACAAGCATATTTTTCATTTGGTAATGCTACAAACTAAGATAATACAAGTACCAATTGTTTCTTTATAGAATTATTTAATAATGCATGTGCATTACTCTTAGTACCATTCATACTATTTAAACTCTTGGAGTGAATTACTCAATAATGCATGTGCATAATGAAATTAAAAACGATTTCCATTTCAACAAAACACATCAACAATAAAATTGTATAAGGATACAATATATATATATATATATTAATAGTTCAACCTGTCATGCGTCAGTTTCTTTAATATCTTATGATATGTTAGAATTCATACTTTATATTACCCGCACGTTGGAAAATTTATATGATTTTTGTTTTCATTTTCATAATTAGATAACACTATTGGAAAATTTCTTTTTGGACAAGTAGTGTTTGTTTTTTTTTTTTGTTGTTGTTTCGTTTCAACAAGCTATCGAAAATAAAGATATAAAGATGAAAATGAAGAAACAATGAGATCTGTTGGTTCTTTTTCTTTTTTTTTTTTCTTCAACGGGCTATCAAAAAATACTAAAATAGCAGCCAAAATTCCTTTAAATATCCAAATAATGGGTTGTTACAAATTAGATATTTTTTTATACATTCAAATTTGATTTTATTCCTAATTTTTAGTTTTTGTAAACCGCAGACAAAGAGATGGATAAACGCGATATAAGTTTACATAGGTGGCATGAGTTTACTTGATAGTATTTGAAATTTGGGGTGATAGTAGTTGACGGGTTTAGATCAAGAAACGAGTTTTGTTTTCTTTTGTATATGATGACAAAACAAAATAAAATTCAAAGATTAATAGCTAAACGCATATGCCTACTGTGTCCAAGACCTTGAAATCTCTTTGGATAGAAATTAAATAACACTTTTGAAGAATTTCTCTTTGGATAAGTAAAAAAGTTATTGGTTATTCTTAATTTCTTTTTTTTTTTTTGTTCAACAGGCTGTCGAAAAAGAAGATGAAAACGGTGACAATAAAAGTGGAATGAGATCTTCCAATTCGTATTCTTTTCTTTTTTTTTTTGTGGTTCAATAGAGATTGTCAAAAAAATACTAAAACTGCACCAAAACCATTACTGGTCTTTAACCTACCGAACACCCAGAATTTCTTAACCAAAATGATACAGAGTGACGTACTGTTAAAGATAAAAATAAAGATGGAATGAGACCCGTCGAAAGACGGTTCTTTCATAATTAAATAACATTTTTGAAAAATTTCTCTTCAGACAAGTAAGTGATGCTTGGTTATTTTTTTTATTATTTTTTTTTGGGTTCAACGGATTATTAACAGACAAAGATGGAAGATGAAAATGAAGACAGAATGAGATTTGCTTCTTCTTCTTCTTCTTCTTCTTCTTCTTCTTCTTCTTCTTCTTCTTCTTCTTCTTCTGTTGTTCAAGGGGTTGTCAAAAAATAATTAAATACAACAAAACTATCGTTCCTCCAAAAACTTGAAATCTTTTAAGTATGACGATACAGAATGATATGCTGTTAAAGATGAAAATTAAGATAGGATAAGATCCGAATATTCAACCTTTAATAAGTAGATTACATTACACTTTAGAAAAAAATAATTTGGACAGGTAAGTAGTGTTTCAATTTTATCTATTTACTTTTTGTGTTTAACGGGTAGTCGAAAACAAAGATAGAAAGATAAAAATGAAGACAGAATGAGATCTGCTGGTTTGTTTATTTTTTTTTTCAATGGACTGTCAAAAAGTATAAAAATAGCAGCTAAAATTCCCTTAAACTCTTAGGATCACAATAATGGACTATCACAAATCATATATTTATTCTACACAATCAAATCTGAGTTACTTTCTAATTTTTATTTTTTGTAAACGGTAGATAAATAGGTATAAAAATGAGTCATGAGTTTATTTGATTGTATTTGAAATTTTTGAGTGATTAATGGTAATCGTGTTTAATGGGTTTGAAATGCCCCCGTGTCCAAGACCTGAAAATGTCTTTTGACAAGTAAATAGATAACACTTTTGAATAATTTTTCTTTGGACAAGTAAATAATACTTTGGTCATTCTTTTTTTTAACAGGTTGTCAAAAATGAAGATAAAAAGATGAAAATGAAGATGGAATGAGTTCTGCCGTTTCTTATTCGTTTTTTAATTTTTTTTGTTCAACGAGTTGTCAAAAAAACTAAAATTTGCTTTTAAAGATGGAAATGAAGATGGAATAAAATCCCCTAAAAGACAGATTTTTCAGAAATAGATAACACTTTTAAAGAATTTTTCTTTAAAAAATAAGTAAATGCTTGGTTTTTTTTTCTTTTTCATTTTTTGGTTCAATGGACTGTCAATAAAATAAAAATAAAAAGATAAAAATAAAGATGAAATAAGATTCATCGGTTCTTCTTTTTAAGCGAAGGCAATTCTTAATCCTCTTACACGAAGGTAATTCCCAATAGATAAAAGGCTGGGCCAGTTGCAATCGCGATAATATCACAATAAAATAAATTCGATTATTATACTTAATTGTGACATGTACAATAAATATTATGTTTTACACATTATAATATAATAATATCTTAATATCCGCCGTGCAACGCACAAGTTACATACTAATTTTCTGTATAAGAAAAATAAAATAATAAAGTAATCATTTTGAGCTAAATTCTATAGATATATATTAATTTTAAGCTTTCTTTTTCTAAAATGGCTCAAACTCAAGTGTAATATTTTTAAGTGGATAACTTCAAAATCATTTTAAAATGAATCAAGTGGAGATCTCGAGTTCAAATCAATTAGTAAGGCGAATTTTGAAATAAAAGTTCAAATTCATTACTACTAAAATCGAGTTGACCTAGAGGCCGAATAAAAACTTGGTATCGATTCGGCTGTTTACAATTTCTACAATTTCTATAGAAAGAGAGAAAGGCAATTGAGAGAAAACATTAATGAGAAAATGTCCCAATACACCACCCTCGTGAACCTTAATATCATTGTCCCTTATTCACACCCAAATATGGCTAATCCATCATTACTAACGTGAATGAACTTTTCACCAACTGGCCAGATTAATTCATGGTAACAAATAATATTACGTAAACCCAGGCAAATTCAAGAATCCCCACCAACCCACCAAATTAAATCTGTTACTAGCATTACATGAATCCAGCAAACACGAAGAATGAATGCCCAGATACTGAGATAAGAAGTATTAAGTTAGAAAAAAATCTTAGCAGAATGAATATTAGCAAATCTATTCCTTTTTTTTTTTTTTTGGACATAGAAAGTGAATAATATTTTAATTTCTCACCATAATTTCACCAATCTATTAGAGGAAAAATAACTTTGTTTCCTTGTTTCAATTGCTGAAAAGTTGGTAGAAAGACGTATAAATAAAGGCCTAAGAACTCTGTTTTTGTACATATCTCACTCGGTTTTCTCCTCTCTCTCTGTCTCTCACCCTCCCAATTGATTTGTTTTCTATTTGTTTTCCTGCCTGCGTCACGCTTTTGAGGCAAAATTCTTGCAGTAAGTTCTCATTCTTTCAGTTCTCTTGAATCCATTTTCTTTTAAGTTCTTGTAATTTTTTCAGTTTAATTGTGTTTCTTGAAAACTGAATATTTGAACTTGAACATTGTAGTTTTTGCGCTCTTGTACTACTGTGAAGTTTGTATTTTGATTACCATGCTCCTCCCTTAATTAAACGTCGTACTTGAATTCACCTTCAATTAGATCCTGGTGATTGAATCGATGGCTCTTTCTTCTGAATTTCGCTTTTTCTCTTCAGTTTTGTTGAATGTAGAAATTATTAGTGTTTACTTCTGAACAGAAAGATAAATGGCTGAATTGATGATTTTATTGATGATTGAGTCTTTGTAGATAATACATAAGTCTATGTTTATCACATAAAGTCTACAAAATAATAAAGATGTGATAATACATAAGATAATAACAACATAATTAATGTATACTCTATCAACAGAATCAATTATCTTTATTTTTTTTTAATTTTTTAATTTTTTTTACTTTACGGTGAAATTTTCATTTCAGTTGATTATCTGTTATGCATAGAACTAATTCATGGAAGAATTTTTACTTGTTTTCACTAGCAGAGTTAATATGTCGATGGATCAATTGTACTGTGCTATTTTATCATGGGCTCATAACTCATAATCTGCATCTTTTTATCACTGTTGGTTCTGTACCTTTTGAATGTGCTAAGTTTTTCTCTGATACATCCTTCAGGTTTATGGTGTTATGAAGCATTTTTAATATTTAATATTATCTTTCAAAGTTTGCTGAAATGGAGAGTTACAAACCAAAGAACATTCTGATCACTGGTGCAGCAGGCTTCATTGCCTGCCATGTCGCCAATAGGCTCATCAGGACATATCCCGATTATCACGTGGTTGTTCTTGACAAGCTTGATTATTGCTCAAACTTGAAGAACTTGAAGCCGTCTTTTTCGTCCTCGAACTTCAAATTCATCAAGGGAGACATTGGCAGTGCTGATCTTGTGAATTACGTCCTTGTTACGGAGTCCATTGACACGATTATGCACTTTGCAGCCCAGACTCATGTCGACAACTCGTTCGGGAACAGTTTCGAGTTCACCAAAAACAACATTTACGGCACTCATGTTCTTCTTGAGGCTAGCAAGGTCACTGGCTAGATCAAGAGGTTCATTCATGTCAGCACTGATGAGGTGTACGGCGAGACAGATGAGAATGCGACGGTGGGAAATCACGAGACATCTCAGCTCCTTCCGACCAATCCTTACTCTGCAACAAAAGCTGGTGCTGAAATGCTGGTGATGGCTTATGGAAGGTCATATGGTTTACCCGTGATAACCACCAGGGGAAACAATGTGTATGGTCCAAATCAATTCCCTGAAAAGCTGATTCCGAAGTTCTTACTCTTGGCAATGAAAGGAGAGACTCTTCCTATTCATGGCGACGGGTCCAATGTTCGGAGTTACCTTTCTTGTGAGGATGTTGCAGAAGTATTTGAAATCATTCTACACAAGGGAGAAGTTGGTCATGTCTACAACATTGGAACTAGCAAGGAAAGAACGGTGCTCGATGTCGCAAGGGATATTTGTAAGTTTTTCTCAATCAACCCGGATGATGTTATCAAGTTTGTGGACAACAGGCCATTTATGATCAAAGATACTTTCTGGATCATCAGAAGTTACAAAACCTAGGATGGTCCAAGCGGACGACATGGGAGGAAGGTCTGAGGAAAACTATGGAGTGGTACGTGAACAATCCTGATTGGTGGGGAGATGTTTTGGGGGCCTTGGTTCCTCACCCAAGGATGCTAATGATGCCTGGAAATGGAAAGAACATCTCTGATATTAGTTCTGATTCCTATGTGCAGAAAAATTCTACTCAGAAGGAAATGGTGGTTCCAGCTGTTAAGAACAACTCTTCCATCCAGAAGCCATCCCTGAAATTCTTGATTTATGGCAGAACTGGTTGGATATGTGGTCTTTTAGGTAAGATATGCGAGAAACAAGGCATTCACTTTGAGTATGGCAAAGGGCGACTTCAAGATAGATCACAAATACTCGGGGACATTCAGAGCATTAAGCCAACTCATGTTCTGAATGCTGCTGGAGTGACTGGAAAGACCAAATGTTGATTGGTGTGAATCTCATAAACCAGAGACGATTCGAACAAATGTTGCTGGTACCTTAACTTTGGCAGATGTTTGTAGAGAGCATGGGCTGCTTATGTTGAACTTTGCTACGGGCTGCATTTTTGAGTATGATTCTGATCATCCCTTGGGGACAGGCATTGGATTCAAGGAGGAAGACAAGCCAAATTTCACTGGGTCATTCTATTCAAAAACTAAGGGCATGGTATGTTTATTTTTATCCTTCCTATTCATCTTTATCTCTATGTTAATCTTAATTGATATCACAGGCTTATAATTCTTGGCTTTCTCAGGTCGAAGAACTACTGAAAGAGTACGACAATGTATGCACCCTTAGAGTTCGAATGCCAATCTCAGCTGATCTCAACAATCCTCGTAACTTCATTACGAAGATCACAAAGTATGACAAAGTTGTCAACATTCCAAACAGCATGACCGTGTTGGATGAGCTTTTGCCGATTGCAGTTGAGATGGCAAAAATAAACTGCAAAGGGATATGGAATTTCACAAATCCGGGTGTGATCAGTCACAATGAGATTCTGGATTTATACAGGGACTACATTGATCCAAGCTTTAAATGGACAAACTTCACCGTGGAGGAACAGGCGAAGGTCGTTGTCGCTCCTCGTAGCAACAATGAAATGGATGCAACGAAGTTGAAGAATAAGTTTCCAGAGCTGTTGTATCAAAGAATCACTTATCAAGTTTGTCTTTGAACCAAACAAGAAAAAGGTCGCTGCATGAGAAGGGCTGATGCATCTGGTGATTTGAAGAGTACTACTATTCAATCAACCTCAGTTCATTACTTCGGGGCAAGGGTTAAAATTTTGTAACTCAATGACTCATAGTTTCACAGTTTTTTTTTCCCATACTTCTTTATAGATCTTTATGTTATGTCATATTACTCTAGCAAAACTAAGTAGAAATTTTTAGTCATGAAAACATTCTTAGAATCAAATTATCCTAGACATTTTGTTTCGAACAATTTAACGTTTTCATATCAATAGAGAATGCTCCATTTTTTCTCTATAGTTTTTCTTGTTTTTGAAAGTTCAGTACTCCTTGTGACTTGCTCAAACTTCACAGGTTGGGATATCACTTTTTGCTTCTAATTAGCATTCTATATATAGCCACAGAATTGTTTTGGTGGAAGATGATGAAACGCCCCGTTTCTTTTTAATTTTTCCGACTCTGCCCCTCCCTCTGTTCGATTTCTCTCCTCTTGAGGATTGGCTCGCCGCCATCCTTTATCAACCCAGTAAATATATCTCAGTTCAAGCTTCCAAATAGTTTAGAACAAAATCAGTTATAGTGTAAACATGAGTTAAGAAGACTAAAATGGGTCTTGGTCAGTAAGTGCTAGGGAACTACCTGAAATTTCCCTATTAAATTCTAAACGTTACTATCATGTTGAAATTTCCGAGTGAATTCTAAACCCAACAATCATACTGTTTCAGTAATGTTGTACATATCAGAAACTTTAGCATGGTACTTTCTCAAAGCAACTAATATTGTACTGATCAGCAGAAAAGCCTTCAAGTTTTGGGAAATCAACATAGGACTGTTTAGGACCAGGGAATTCAAGTTTTGGCTTTGACAACAAGGGTAGTACTAACTACTAAGTAGATGATTGCTTGCTCTTCGCTTTCCTTTCACAGTTTCACCAACTCAAAGTTCTTATTTACATTGGGTTTTACATCATTGACACTCGAGGGAATGAAATGGTAACTGACCAAGAATTTTTAGGACTAATTGTCAAGATTGTTATTACACCATGCTCACTACATTTTACCAAACATAATTGACCACGACATTACAACAAAGATTGCAAAGCTGTTGCAGATGTCACTCTTCGAACTGTTTGTTCAGGCAATACAACCTGGAGATTTTGGTGGAGAGGGAGAGGAAACTGCATTTTTTTGGTGACGGGTAAATTACAAAATCCGCTGTTGTTTTTCGGGAAGTGTTTGCATTTTCCTACCCTGAGGTATCATCATTCAACCAGGGTATATTGTAAGATAAGTTTAAGGATCAAAGGTGTGTAAGACCTGAAATTTGCATCAGAATTTCCCCAGTCCCCACTAAGATGATCGAACGAGAGATCAATATGCCTCCATCTGATTCATATTTCCCATTGACCGAGGTGAGACCATTGCATGAGCAGTTTAGAAGCTCGGCCAACTCTTTCAGGCAATATTGCCCTGGAACTGATTGGAGAAGAGAGGGAGGATCTTTTTCACCACCACCTACTTTGGTTATTTGAAAGCTCTAAACATCTTTCAATCTTGACTATCAACACGCAAAGGGATTGAACAGAGCAACTGCTCTGAATTGTGATGAAGAGATATGATTGATAAGAGTTTTGGCATTTAAGAATCCATAGGCTTGGTCGCTTGGAAAGTTTACAATTTCACAAGCTCAAGACTTGCAACATCTGGCACTGAAGGTTCTTCCTAACAAGGATATTTCGTTCCTAAAGAATTCAAGATTCGGGTTTTCAAGATAGAAGAAGTTCATGAACAAAGGAGAGGCAGATCAAGACTAATCATCAACCTCCTGAATGTGGGGTAAAAAAAAAAGTTTAAAAAAACCCCACAAGGCACCATCAGGTTGTTTGTCAGAAAGATTATGAGCACGACCATTAGTCTTGAAGTAATTTACAAACTCAATTCATTCGTCAGACTCAATTATTATCGTCTGTAATTGATCACTTATTGCAATGGGTATGGATATAACACTTTTAATGAAGTTACCGGAATCACCAAAAAATTAGAACGTGTAGTAATTGGTGTCCGAAGAGACAAGTAGATTGAGAGTGGAAGTTAGAAAGTGATGTTGCCCTGTTAAATGTGAAAGGATGATGAAAAAGAAATTGGCTGAAAGGCTCCCAAAACATTAATAAGCTTCTAATTATAAGAGAGTCCCAAGTAGTTGGAAATAAACCAGACCGATGGTAATGTTCTATGTCCCTACCTAACATGCAAATTCTAGTGATTTCCTAAAAATTCCATTCATCTATTTTTTGTTTTTTAGACTACAATACTTTCGAGTTTATAATCTCCTTTTTTTTTTTTAATCGGTAATAGTGAAACTCTTACAAAGACGACTTCAGCTGTCGAATAGTTATAATCTTGTTTAGTTTCTATCTTCTTTTACCTAAAAAAAATGTCTTATTACTTTTTTCTTGTAAAATATTCCCTCCGTCCTATAATTATTATCCAGTTTTTCTAAAATGAAAGATTTTATTTTTTGTCAAACTTAACTATATTTTACCTTAAACAACCGGATATAACCATACATAAGTAATTGTTTAACCAATAAGATTTTATGGATAATAATTTTTACTAAGGACAAATGTGTAAAAAGTCAAATTGGACAATAATTTTAGGACAAAATTTTTTGGGCAAAATTTTTTTGCGTGTTTACTAGTATTAAGATCTATTACAGACATGAGTTGAAATTTGAAAAGGAAAAGAAATACTCAATTTTACATGTCATAAACTACAATCGTCGAGCTTAATTTGGGCCCCCGGACCGTTGCTTTTTTGGTCTGGATCCCACTCTAAAATCTTAATGGAATATCCTGTATTGGGATTGTTTAGAATCATCGCTAGACACTCGAAAGTAGTCGAAGAGTTCTTTTTTTTTTGGGAAATGCACTCCATGTTAAACTTAAAACCTGTGCTTTTCTTGTTCTTTCGGGCGAAATTTGAAGGATTTCTTTATCTGTGTAGATAAAGTGCCAGGAATTGTCAATCTTCAGTAGGTTCAAGTTAAGTTCGTATACATCAAGACAGAAGGTTATATAGTAGTATATCATTTCTTCACATGATAGTGTTTGATTCGGAGTGTCACTTATCCCTAATCACAAATAATGCTTATCAAAAGTGATTTGGCTTCTTTCGAAATAACAACTTTCGAATGAAAGAATTATTTTCATTTTTCGATTTTGGTGAAATTTCATTAAATTATTAATAACATCTATCATTTCTAGGTAAAGCTACAATCCCGTTGTTAATTTTAAGGGTATGGTCCATTATTTAATTAATAACTGTTAGATTAGGCTAAATTATTTATAGTATAATATTTAATTGGGAGTCTTCTTTTGCCTTAATAACTATGAGTACATTAATTATTTCAATGAAATCCTCTCTCTCTCTTCTACTCTAACAGCCGTTTGGCTCTTGTTTTTTTTATTTTTTTATTTAGGGGCTTTTGAAGAGAACCGCCAGACGAGGAGGGGTAGAAAATATGAAGAATTTGTGTTAAAAAAAAAGTTTATATAAGTTGTGATGTAATTTTTTTTGATATATGCAATCATGTATTAATTTATGTGAAATATCTAATAACTACGAGTAAATGTGCAATCAATAAAATCAACTAAGTATTAAGTTTTAGTACAGTGCAATTGTTTTTAAGTAAAGGGGCAATATGGTTTTGTAAAATGTGCAATAGCATGTTCAAAGTTGCAATGTTCGTATATTAATTATCAAAATAAGAAAAAATAAAATGAAAAATACTTGGCTTTACTAAATTTAGATAACAATAATTTTGAATAGGTAAAAAAACCTATCGTTAGTTCTTCTTAACTCTTTGTATATATTTGACCTTCAACACTGAAATTCAAACATTCTATCTCTTTAGATTGGAAAACGTATACAGTGAACATTAATAGTGAAATGAGATAGTGACTAACACCATATGCATGTTTTTATACTGCCCCTATTATGTTCGTAATGCCTTCGTCTTTTCACTAGTCACTATCCTGTTTCACTGTTTATAGTCACTGTCCGTGTCATTGATCTTTTTGATTATGATGTCATAGCAATCAATTTAATTCTCTATTATATTAGAACAAAGAATACAAAAAATTAAAAATCTAAAGAAATCATAATAAATGTAGCTAAAATATTCCCATAGACAATAAATGGATTAGTTATCACTTAAATATTCCCATGCACAAAAATATAGTTTGACAAGACAACACAAAATATAGAGACACTCTATTTTATTATTTGTGTAATAACATACACACAAATGCGCCATGTTTAAAAATATAATATTATGCTAAAAAATTCAAAAAAGTTGTAAATAAAATTTTATTATTCAAAAGTACTTTAATACTCGCTTAGTAAGGCTTATAAGAAAATTCTAAATAAAAAATTAAATTACTAAAAAAACTTGTATAAGAAATGGTGCAATGTTTTTTAAGTCAATGGTGCAATTATATATAAATATAGGTGCAATTTTTAATGAGTAAATGGACAGTCACACGTAAATATTTTTGTAATGTAAAAATAAAAGAAGAAAGTTTAATTAATAATTATAGAAAGCTTTTAGTATAATGCAATTATTTGAAAGTGAATGTGCAATGTATTTTTCTTGAACGTGAAATTGCATCCTCAAAAGTGTAATGGTTGGATATCCATTATTAACTTACGATAAAAATAAAAGGAAATAAAATATGATGCAATTAATTATTAATTAATAGGTGCAATATTTTATAAATTAATGTGCAAATATATGTAAGTATTTGTGCAATACATATAATGAAAAAAGGAAACTTAATTATTAATTAATGATGATTTTATTATTTTAAATTTTGAAATTTTCTTAAATTATTCAATTTTTAAAATTTTGGTAACTTTACCTGCTTAACAGGTCACAAAATTTTTTAAAAATTAGGACAATTTAATGCTATATTTTTTGTGTCACT